GGTCCCCCTGAGGAACATGAGAAAACATCATTTGAAAATTTCGACTTGAAACTTTGTATAGAGAGAGGTCTCAATGAGAGTGGCTTATTGTGAAAGTTTCAGCTTTGCTGAATGCTCCTAATCGGAAATACGAACACCAAAACTTGCCTCTGCAAGTGACATAGGTTACCATAGCAGTATCTTAGAATTGGAACAAGGAATAGGTCTGAAACTTTTACAATAAACCACTCTCATTGAGACCTCTCTCTATACAAAGTTTCAAGTCGAAATTTTCAAATGAGTTTTTCTCATGTTCCTGAGGGGGACCACGGTAGTGAGTTATTCCAATATCTTAAAAACGTAATATCTCAACAACAACAGGCTATGGGCACAAACCATTTTAGGGCTCTTACCTACGCTATGAGTCCTACCTATAGGCAAAATATGAGTCCAAACCGAGAGTATCACTTGGGGAGGTTCCCTCGTTCGTACACTCAGAATTTGATGGTGCATCTTTCTGGTGAAACAAATTCTTTTTATAATGTACTATAAGCTGGATAGGGTGTGCAAGGTTTTTAGGGCGTACTATTGGGTAGGCAAATGTGCATTTAAGAGCCAGTCCATATAAGCCACGACCAACTTCAGAGAGATCCTGCTCAATTTAAGATATGTTGTGGAGGGAAGTACTTTATGAATTTTGACGAAAGCCGATTCAAAAAATATTGATCCTTCGGTTTTTATGAGCATTTTACGAAAAGGCCTAAAAATGATCTTATATATAAATAGGGGTCCTAATACTACGATATCTCACGAATGGCTCAGCCAAATGAGCTAAAATTTTTTATTGCCATATACCTCAGTGAATTCTATTTCGAATAAAATTTTTGTTTTAAAATATTGAGCCATTGGGATTTTATGAAGTACTCAATATATGAAAAAAGGTTCATTTTTGGTAAGTTTGGCGCTTCGTAACTTTTGATAGGAATGATATATAGGTCTGAAATTTTCATTGTTGATAGTATACTGAGAGATATATTTTTTCTGAAAATTTCAGCTATCCATACCGTTCCATTTTCTCAGAACAGCACCATGAAAAACGAAATTTTCATAGACGTGGGCACTTTCAGGATAGGTTTTCTCTCAAGAAATGGATTGCCTGGGGCACTGATTATTTGAGCTTTGAAGTACTCTCTTTGGGCTACAATCCTGTGAAAAAATTAGTGTGGGATCTCCAAGAATGGCCCCAGGACACTCATGGCAAAATACAAAAAAATGAGCCTTTTTTATAGGAAATCTATCTGAGTACAGTTCAAAATTCCTCCAAGGATTCTTCTATATGATATAAATTTTATGTAGTAAAAATCAGCATTTAATTCTCTATTACCCTGTATTGAAATATCTTTACGAAGTTTAAAAAATTTTTTTTTCGAAAAATTGCCCTAGGGGGGGATACAGCGGCTAGGAGAATAAGATGTTGCAGGATGAGGTCTGGAGGGCGGTAGAGGGATTTTTTGTAAAAATGTTTTTTTCATTTTGAAAGGATATTTTGATACAGGATAATAGAGAATTAAATACTGATTTTTACTACATAAAATTTATATCATATAGTAGAATTCTTGGAGGAATCTTGAACTGTACTCAGGTGGATTTCCTATAGAAAAGGCTCATTTTTTTTGTATTTTGCCATGAGTGCCCTGGCGCCATTCTTGGAGATCCCATACTAATTTTTTCACAGGATTGTAGCCCAAAGAGAGTACTTCACAGTTTAAATAACCAGTACCCCAGACAATCCATTTCTTGAGAGAAAGCCTATCCTGAAAGTGCCCACGTTTATCAAAATTTCGTTTTTTCACGGGGTTGCCCTGAGCAAATAGAACGGTATAGATAGCTGAAATTTTCAGAAAAAATATATCTCTCAGTATACTATTAACTATGAAAATTTCAGACATATATGTCATTCCTATCAAAAGTTATGAAGCGCCAAACTTACCGAAAATGAATCTTTTTTCATATATTGAGTACTTCATAAAATCCCAATGGCTCAATATAATAAAAGGAAAATTTTATTCTAAATAGAACTCACTGAGATATATAGCAGTAAAAACTTTCAGCTCATTTGGTTGAACCGTTTGTGAAATATCGCTGCATTAGGACCCCGATTTATATATAAGGTCATTTTTAGGCCTTTTCGTAAAATGCTCACAAAAACTGAGGGATCATTATTTTTTGAAGCGGCTTGCGTCGAAATTCACAAAACTCTTCCCTCTACCACATCACATGTCTTAAATTAAGCAAAATCTGACGATATCGATTGAGCAACTTCGGTCGTGGCTTACATGGACTGGCTCTTAAACAGAATTCTCTGAAATTCATCAAAATTTTTAAAAATTTAGAAAATAGAACCCGAGGATAAATTCAATCATTCCTTCATAACTCTTGAAAGGATTTGCAAAAAAACGTAAAAATTTGGTTTTGAGCATAACTTTTCACGCTCTTTCAAATAATCTAACTCATTTAAAAATGAAAAAGTTTTTCGGATGCAAGTTTGGTCGGTGGTCTCGCGGACCCTCTCTTAAGTACATTTCGAGTAATTGTACTTGAAAGTACAAGTATTCGAGTACAAAGTACTTTACTTGTAATTTTAGAAAAGTACTTGTGCTTCCCAAACCAAGGACGAGTACTGTTGTTCAAGTACAAATATTTGTACTCGTAGTTGTCTAGCTCTCTTGGAGAGTCATTCTCAAGTGCTACGGAACTTAGTGAGAGGAGTCTGATCTCAAAAACAATTTATTAGCTGTGGAGGTTCGCTCGTGAGCTGAATGTCGTTTTTCTTACCTCCAGATTAAAATAATGAGATAGCACCTACAGCAGCTTACCTTCTGGGCAATCATATAATCCATCTTTGACTTGGTATTTTGAAATGCAACCAATTGGTCGATCTTTGTCACAGTGCTTTGCTTGATTTGGATACGAATCATTCCAACAGCTTCCATAGCTCAATACATTAAGTGTATCATAATAATAATAAGTCATGCAAAAGGTAGTCTCAAATGGATGCCAAGCAGTAGCTGGTGCGTAGTATGACATTATATCTTCATAGTCAATCTTGTCTGCAGCACTTGGAACTATTCGGATTTCATAATTGCATTTAATACTCCGAGTGAATTTGACAATGTCCGGCCACTGATTTGTGTCAAAATCATGTGAATAACTTTCATAAGCGGTCTCGACAAACGGTGTCAGTATACGACCGACAGGATACGAAAACAATGGATCGTTATTTGAACCACAATAGTCATAGAGAAAAGTGCGACATCCATTTCCTGTACATGGGCACAAATAATGTTGACCTGGTTGAGTTAATGCACACTTGTGAATGAAGACACAGTTCATTACTTCTTCTTCTATGTCTGTAGTATTGCCAACAAAGTCTAGACAATGACCATTATGTGGATTTGTCCACATTGTTTGCTGATTATCCAATTCACACATCCACTGCTTATGACGAAATGAAAAGCAAGTTTGATTGCCAGTGACATCTCGTTGCAATATTACTCTTTCATCTAGCGTTTCTCCGTCACCACACGAAAAAAATTGTTTTGACACCAGCATATGTTCGTCGCAATCCAAATTGGGTATTATGGGACATAAATGATTTATTGACTGTGGCGAATTCCACTGTTCATCCGATCTATCCTGACAATCAATGTCACCGTCGAGAAAATATTCTTGATCAATGCACATTCCGTTTCTGCAACGATATTCCGTATATGAGTCGCATTCATTCAAGAGCAGACGTTCACAATGATCTTCATCTGTTCCGTCGACGCACTGTTGTTTACCTGCATATAACAGAAGTGTTGAAAGACACATTTAGAAGTATATAGAAACAAATTTACCATCACAAATAGGTCGCCATTCGAGACAGAGCATCCCATAATCACATTCAAACGATGTCTGGTAACAAGTAATATTGCCGAACAGTTGACTACCCAGTTGATACTTGGATTTCAAACGAAATTGAGCTTTAATTGTATCTTCGAAACTGTTATGTAAAAACTGATATTCACACAATACACCAAAAGTGCCCGATTTTGTGCAATTGCAGATGAAATTTGCCATTGTTTCATTGTACCTATGAAAGTTTAGGAAAATGCTTCCTCAATTTGTCAGTTTCAAATTGGACTTTTAACGGGTATTAGTAAAATACGCTCTCACTCACTCTGACCGCCGTTTAATTCGAAAATAGTATCAATCGATAGAGCATAAAATTCTCCATCCATGAGACCCCACTCTGATCCATTTTCTTCGACAAATCTCAGACAAAAGAATCAAACATCATTTTAATGAGTTCACTCTCACCCACTCTCACAGATCTTAACAAAAGGGTGTAGGCATTGGTGTGGGTTGGATCAGAGTGTGAATGTGGATAGATGTGGGTGTAGGTGTGGGTGAGGTGTGGGGTAGATTTCGGGCTGTGGGTGGGGTGTGATTTGGTATGAGCGTGAGCGTCGGATATGAGTAAGGAACGGATGTAGGTGCGAATGGAAGAAGGCCCACATCTACACACAAATACTCACTCCCATATCCACACCTCGCTTACACCCACGGGCAATCACACCAAATCCCATGCCATCACGCATACTCGACATCCACACCCAGATCCAATTTCACATGGTGTAGATGTGGGAGAGTGTGACATTCGGTTTAGGTTTTGAATATGTGCGTAGTGTTTGTGGGTATCAATTTGGTCGTGGATATGGAAGGGTGTGGATGTGGGCTCGTCATGGTTGTAAACGAGGTGTGGATTAGTACCCTGCGTGACCATGACCGTGACTGGAGATTGGTCACGATCAGTCACGGGAACTTTTTGAAATTTTGAAAACTCCTGAGGGGGAGTAGGAGCACCTGAGCGAAGCTATCCTCTCCCACCTGGTCATTGTCTTTTATGAAAAATTGGGAAGTTTCTAGTATTCATGATTTTCGAAATCCCTGACAGAAAGTACGGGCACCTTCACGAAGCTACCTTCCTTCCATCATCACTTTCAATAGTAAACAGAACCCTAGTTTCTAATGAATACAGGATCCTCCAAGAATTCATTCACGATCCTGCATAGGATTCTAACAGGAATAATGCAGAGGATTCTCTCAAGGTTTTATCAAATTTTAGACAAGATCTGGTATGGATCTTGGTACAAGGACCCAGTCAACTTTTGCAGCTAAAACTGAGGAGCGTCTCAACAAAGAGCCAACAAGAGAGTATATCAGTGGCTGTTCTTGTCAGTTAATACAAGTAGAACTTCTGTTCACACCCACAACCACATCTTGTTTTCTAAATTATTCAAAGTTCAACAACAATGATCACCTGTTCAGGATCTTGACATTCTGTGGCTACACTTCTTTCAGAATTTCGTCGTTTCCTCAGAAAAAAAGAGCGAATCCTGGAAGGATCCTGATTGAATCCATAAAGGACCTGGTACGGAAACATCAAGAATTTTCCCTAGGAAAACTTTGCAATAGCTCTTTCTGGGAAGCGTTTTTCATGTTGAGAAAACAGAAAGAAGGACTGTGACCCATGTTCATGCTCATACAAAATTACATCACCCCCAGTCCAAAATCCAACCCATACCTTACTCACACCCACACCCACACCAATACCTACACCCTCTTGTTAAGATCTGGGTGAGACTAGATGAGAGTCCGTGAGAGTGGATGATGGTGGATGAGAGTGAGTTACAGTGAACTCATTAAAATGATGTCTGATTCCTTTGTCTGAGGTTTTTCGAAGAAAATGGGTTGGAGTGGGGTCTCATGAATGGAGAATTTTATGCTCTATCGATTGATGCTATTTTCGAATTAAGCTGCGATCAGAGTGGGTGAGAGCGTATTTTTCTGATACCCGTTTTTAACTTACCCCAGCTGGTCGTTTATGAGATAAGCTCGATATCAAGTAACAACGCTCACACCTGAATTCCATTTCAATAAGTCGTGTGTAGTGACATTTAATTGTTTCAACTCATTAAATGATACCAATATACCTTCATTGAAACAGCCTTGAGAATAATTCCGGTCAACTGACACAAAATTAGTTGATCTGACACAATACTTGATTGATTGTGTTGACTCGATATGGATAAAGTAATCTTGGCCGCCGCCATCATAGTAGATGCAATCATGCTCCTGCGTTTTCTCGCGACCATCTGTATCGTAGAGTAGAATAGTTGAATTGGCAGAATTATAGAGCAGATAATAGCAAATGAAACAATATCCCCAGCACCACCATTCCATCCTCAGTTGATCATTGAATAGCATTCTTCAATCTGAAAAAATGATTAGAAAGGAATGGTCGATAAAACAAGATCAACCAGCGTATTAGTCTTTATGGGCTGAGCAGATGAATAGTTGGATGTCAGCGACTGTCTGATACCTCAAGTGCTAAATGTTCTTTTCCTCTGTATGTGGTAATCACTATGAGAGTTCAAAAAAAAAAGCAGCACAGTCTATTTTCGTGTTTCAGTGACCAATTCAGAAAAGTTCTGCAGATATGCGGTGCTTTGATAGGTATGTACAGTCAACCGTTCAAGTCGTATGTGACGCAGATTTCAGTGTGCTTCGCTGGAGAAAAACGAAAATTTACGCTTGTGGCTATATGCGACTGAATTGCTCACATGGTGGTGGATCCGTCCCTGTCGGGTAGCATGAATTTCGTCGTACTGACTTTCGCACTTGACTTTCAGCAATTGCTAAAAGTTGTGTTTTTGTAAGATTTTCGGCTTTAAACAGGAGGGATCTTTGGCAATAGCCAATAGTTCAGTTTGAGGAATTATCGGAAATCTTAATAAAAATATTAATCAACTAATTAATTATAGTAAAGAAACCACACTTTGGACATTGTGTGATTTCAAGTTGATGGAAGTCCTTGAACAATATNCATCTAGCGTTTCTCCGTCACCGCACGAAAAAAATTGTTTTGACACCAGCATATGTTCGTCGCAATCCAAATTGGGTATTATGGGACATAAATGATTGATTGACTGTGGCGAATTCCACTGTTCATCCGATCTATCCTGACAATCAATGTCACCGTCGAGAAAATATTCTTGATCAATGCACATTCCGTTTCTGCAACGATATTCCGTATCTGAGTCGCATTCATTCAATAGCAGACGTTCGCAATGATCTTCATCTGTTCCGTCGACGCACTGTTGTTTACCTGCATATAACAGAAGTGTTGAAAGACACATTTAGAAGTATATAGAAACAAATTTACCATCACAAATATGTCGCCAATCGAGACAGAGCATCCCATAATCACATTCAAACGATGTCTGGTAACAAGTAATATTGCCGAACAGTTGACTGCCCAGTTGATACTTGGATTTCAAACGAAACTGAGCTTTAATTGTATCTTCGAAACTGTTATGTGAAAACTGATATTCACACAATACACCAAAAGTGCCCGATTTTGTGCAATTGCAGATGAAATTTGCCATTGTTTCATTGGACCTATGAAAGTTTAGGAAAATGCTTCCTCAATTTGTCAGTTTCAAATTGGACTTTTAACGGGTATTAGTAAAATACGCTCTCAATCACTCTGATCGCCGTTTAATTCGAAAATAGTATCAATCGATAGAGCATAAAATTCTCCATCCATGAGACCCCACTCTGATCCATTTTCTTCGACAAATCTCAGACAAAAGAATCAAACATCATTTTAATTAGTTCACTCTCACCCGCTCTCACAGATCTTAACAAAAGGGTGTAGGCATTGGTGTGGGTTAGATCAGAGTGTACATGTGGATAGATGTTGGTGTAGGTGTGTGTGAGGTGCGGGGTAGATTTTGGGCTGTGGGTGGGGTGTGATTTGGTATGAGCGTGAGCGTCGGATGTGAGTAAGGAACGGATGTAGGTGCGAATGGAAGAAGGCCCACATCTACACACACAAATACTCACTCCCATATCCACACCTCGCTTACACCCACGGGCAATCACACCAAATCCCATGCCATCACGCATACTCCACATCCACACCTAGATCCAATCTCACATGGTGTAGATGTGGGAGAGTGTGACATTCGGTTTAGGTTTTGAATATGTGCGTAGTGTTTGTGGGTATCAATTGGTCGTGGATATGGAAGGGTGTGGATGTGGGCTCGTCATGGTTGTAAATGAGGTGTGGATTAGTGCCCGGCGTGACCGTGACCGTGACTGGAGATCAGTCACGATCAGTCACGGAAACTTTTTGAAATTTTGAAAAACCCTGAGGGGGGAGTAGGAGAACCTGCCCGAAGCTATCCTCTCCCACCTAGTCATTGTTTTTTATGAAAAATTGGGAAGTTTCTAGTATTCATGATTTTCGAAACCCCTGACAGGAGTACGGGCACCTTCACGAAGCTACCTTCCTCCGATCATCACTTTCAATAGTAAACAGAACCCTAGTCTCTAATGAATACAGGATCCTCCAA